ATGAAGAGCCCTGGAATTTGTCAAAAAATCTGAGGGAGACACAAATAGGAATAATATGCATGTATGTAACATGAGAGAAAAATCACAGAAATTTTAAATATAAAACATAATTTTCTGTGGTGTGCGTCTTTATTTGTGTGTGACCTGCGAAGGACTGGCATCCTGCCCCGGGAGAACCCTGCTTTTCACCCAGTGTTTGGCAGGATTGGCTCTGGCTCAGCTGCGAGCTCAGCTGGAAGAAGCAGTTAGAAGATGGATGGGTAGTTCTCAGTGAGTGCTGGCTGAGGTAGAGATTCTGAGGCAACCGTCGTAAGAGTGGTGGACGTTATTGCTGGTATGTTCACTGATTCCTACTCTGGGTTTGCACAATCTGGCCTACCCAGACTGACAGATGTTTCAGTACAAGTAGCAGTCTCAACAAAGCAGATTCAGTCTGTTTCAGGCAGCTGTGCAGGACAAGCATAAGATAAGATCACTTTATTGGCCATATACAATTTCTTGTATGAGGAATTTGTCTTTTCACATACCCCAGCTTGCTCTCCAGGAGACACACAGACAGGGAGAGAAGCTGGGGGTCAGACCGCAGGATCAGCCATTTATACAGCACCTCTGGTGCAGCTGGGGCTAAGGGCCTTGCTCAGGGGACCAACAGAATAGGATTCCTTTGCTGGCCATGGGACTTGAACCAGCAACCTTCCAGCCACAGGCATAGATCCTTAGCCCTTCTGTAGGCAAGCATCTACACCTGTTGTCTTTCTTGTCTTACTCCCTGCAAAGCCATAGTTTGGTAGAAGAATTTATGGCTTTTTATTCCCAAATAGCTCTTAAACCATTGCACTTGAGAACACTAGACATGTCCTGAAATTGATTGTTATTGACAACAAGCTACTCAGCCATGTGGTTGAAGCCGATACCCTGGTTTCTTTCAATAAACAGCTGGATGTGATCCTGGGTTCAATAAAAGAGGCTAGATGGACCAGATGGCTCCTCTTATTTGTAAACTGTCTTGTGTTCATTTTTGAAATTACTTTTTTTTCCTTTCGTCCCAGACAGCGCAAGCTAGGAATACAAATGTTCCCCAGGGACCATTCTCCAAAGTGTCCTACAGATTCCGCTTGCTTATTCACAGGAAAAGCAAAGCTCATTTCCTTCCCTCTGGGTTTCCAGGAAAGCGTGGAAAGTCTTAGCATCACCAGGGCACTAAATACATGTTTCTTCTCAGAGCACACAGCGGTACATAGTCACTGGGGACCTAAGCCTATGTTTCTGAGAGTTTAACTATATACGTTCATAAACTTTGAAAAAATGAAAAAAGATTTGCAAACAGCACTGATAGGTATGCACTGCAGGGGTTTCTCTGAGTGCTAATGAATTCCGGGTTACACTGACAGTGTGAATTAAAGTGAACCCAGGGAGAAATAAAACATCAGACAACCAGGCAATTAATGTGTCCCCAGACTGATAGATAAATACTAGGAGACTCAGAAACAAAATGCAAGAGAAGAAACCAACAGTGCTAACAGAGAGTCAGCACTAGTGGATACACAGCACTCTTAAGACACAGGAAAGATAGAAGCAGCACAGGAGTAGCACTATACAGCACAAAGAGTCCTAAGCACAGCCGGATCAGAAGCTATCGCTTGGCTCAGGGTCTTTGCATCTGCTGGCTCAATAAATAAGCACAAAGATCATTCAGACACAGGAACTGAACCCAGAGGAGTTGAGGATCTCTGCATACATTTATATTTACAGGGATCAGATTTTGAAAAACATTCAAATGGCACTGTGTTAGGAGAATGCTACAGACCGCCAAACTCAGACATCAGTTGGAGCGCAGTATGAATTCTGTAATGAACTAGAAACATGCGTACAGGAAAAAGTGCTTATAATGAGAGACTTGAATTTTATAGGAAATAGGGATGTCAATGACAATAACAAGAAGAGCACACATGGATAATGAGTCCTCATGGGTCCGACTCTCGGTGCAGCTCTCCCTCCGGGAGTCCAGACTGATCCAGACGTGTCCGACTCCCCGGGTGGATCTCCCTCCGGGAGTCCAGACCGATCCAGACGGGTCCGACTCTCTGCTCCTCTCTCCCTCTAGGAGTCCAGACCGATCCCAACGGGTCCGACTCCCCGGGCGGCTCTCTCTCCAGGATCCCGGCTGCAGGAGTCCAGAAGGATCCTTGCGAGTCCGACTCCCTGCGTGGGCCTCGCTCCGGACCCTGGCCATGGACCGGTGCGGACAGTTTTGCCTCAGTCGGCATCGAGCCGGCCTGCCCTGTGACCGAGGTGTAGTGAGCCGGCCTCTCCCAGGGGACTGTCACGCCCTGCTCTGGGGTCTGCAACAGCTACAAGTCCTGATCCACAGGGACCTCCGCTGTTCTTTTCATCTGATTCAAGAATTAAAAATCCTCAGAGACTCTGATGAAGTTAACCCAGGTAGGCTCTCCAGGATCATCAGCTGAAACACTCACTAGAGGACACAATTTAGAAGTTTAAAACTGAGCACAGGACTCCTTTTCACACACAGGGCTGTGGGGGTCTGATACAAGCCCCCCAGCCTTGTTGTTGAAGCTGATACCCCCTTCTTTTGTTTTGTGATTCTCACCAGGCCTGTCATTCAAAAAGTTAAACCACTTTATCACCTTTCCCCAACAGATTCTCTCACTAATGAGTCAATGCAGTGAAGCCCGTCTTTTTACCTGCTTCTCAAGGGTTGTCACTGTGTTGGACACAATCCTTGTGACATCTAGTGGAAAAAATAAGGATTGCAAGCTCAGAGTTAGAAAGTACTGTAATAATAATTGCTTACACTTACATAGTGCTTTTCTGGACAGTCCACTCAAAACACTTTACAGGTAATGGGGATCCCCTCCACCACCACCAGTGTGCAGTGTGCACCACCACCTGGATGATGCGACGGCAGCCATAGTGCACCAGTACACTCCCCACACACCAGCTATCAGTGGGGACGAGAGCAGAGTGATGGAGCCAGATCATAAATGGGGATTATTAGGAGGCCATGATTGGTAAAGGCCAGGGAGAAATTTGGCCAGGACGCCAGGGTTACACCCCTACTCTTTTCAAGAGACGCCCTGGGATTTTTAATGACTACAGAGAGTCAGTTTTACGTCTCATCCGAAAGACAGCGCCTATTTTACAGTATAGTGTCCCCGTCACTATACTGGGGCATTAGGACCCAGATGGACTGCAGGGTGAGCGCCCCCTGCTGGCCCCACTAACACCTCTTCCAGCAGCAACCTTGGTTTTTCCCAGGACGTCTCCCATCAGCTACTGACCAGACTTACACCTGCTGAGCTCCAGTGGGCTGCCAGCAGTGAGCTGCAGGGTGATATGGCTGCTAGCCATAGTAATCTTGCGTCTAGGTGGGGTGCACGTCCTGAGGGGGATTCTGAGTATGAGTCTGAAGTGGTAGATAGTGCTGCTTCTTCCCAGCTCTCAGGTTCTGCACAGGCACACTGTCTGTGTGAAATCTGCACGTTCTCCCCATATCTTGGTAAATTTTCTCTAACTACCATGGTTTCCTCCCACAGTCCGCAAAACATGCTGTCTGAACTGATAACTTACAATTTAAACTGAAATACCAGGAGTATGATAAACGACTTACAGAAGATAAAAGCTCCCTCATTTGCATTCTTTAAACACACTGTTCCAGAGAGGCAAGGAAGAGCAGAAAGGGAGGGATGTAGTACTGTGGGGCAAAAAGCTTTCAGGCTCAAGGGTTAAAGGTACAGGATTCAAGAGTCCCTGAATCGACAAGTATGAGTCAGAATTGTTGTTAGGAGGCGTATATGGTTCATATAGCGTTAGGAGTGTGCTACATACTGTACCACCACATGCAGGTGTTGATAAATCTATATACAGTACATTCGATAATTAAAGATTTATGTGCAGAAGAGGCTGGATTTATGGGAGACCTCGAGTTTCCATGCTTAGCCTGGGAAAGTCCAATAGGCATGTCAGCAGCAGAATTAAAGACATGGCTCATGACTGATTTCTTACCAGTTGTTTAGGAGCACCTACTTGAGAAAGTTTTTGGATTGATCTTTTTTCAAACTATCAAGACAGTGTGAAGCAGAGGAGAGAGATCCCTCAGGGACCTGTGATCACATGTGCTTTAATAGAGGCCCTGAACAGTACATTCAGTCAAACACTTGTAACTATTATTTCTTGCATATAGAGCTTCTCATTCCATAGGATCCCTTAAAGTGCTTAACATACATGAAGTGACCACTTCACTCACCACTGAAGTGCTGAACCACATATATACAACAGTATCACGATCTTTTGTACATTGTGAGACACACTGAGGATCTACAAACACGCAGCACCGATGTAATTACAGTCACATCTGTCTAAAGGTATTACATCATGATAGTACACATAGTACACAACCACATACAATGAATGTAAAAATAAAAGAAATCCTGTTTCTTTGTGATTTTTTAAAAGATTCCTATATATCCTTCAGATTCGCTGCAGAATGCAGCAGTTTCCCTGTAGTATCTTCCCTGTAAGATCCTTGGAGGAGTCCTGCAGGGTCTGTGTGCAGAACTCTGGGAGCATTTCAGTCATGCAACCATGCAGCTGTTTGCTCATGAACCCTGGATCCCTAATTACGGATAACTAGAAGGATAGTCATGTAACGGTCTAGTCCATTCCCACATGCCCTCACAGCTGCAGACTCAACGCCGTGATGGGCAGCAGAAACACTGTTACAGAGACAGCAGCACAAGAGGACGGGGGTCTGTGCTGCTGTGCTGTAGAAGGCAGTCCTGGGCCTGCAGGACTGTATTTTTCAATGTCAACGCCAGCTCAGGGGCTGCAGACACACCATCGGACACACACACTGACCACGCAGAACCACGGCCGGCCGGCCCTGCTCTGTCTCAGCTCCTCCCCGGGGGTGTCAGCCTGGGCTCCTGGAGCCTCCTGCGGTCTTTTTGTTTCAGTTTCAAAGCAGCCCTCGGAGACATAGTTGAGTAGTTTAAAGAAAAAAGCCCGTTTGGTTGTAATATTTCTGATAATGAGTCAGCGGAGTTCGATAGGTCAGTGTGCCTGAAATGAAATGAGTGTTTTCCGTAACCACGAGTTTTGAGTAACTGTGCCTGTCTAAGAAAATAGTTCACCGCAAGCAACACACACACACACACGAGCCCGCAAAGACACTGCACCTGCGTTTGCAATAAAGATGCAAGATAAAACCAATCTCTTTTAAACGCTGTTCATCTAACCGGCAGTTTTAAAAATAACCTCCACCATACTTCTCAAGTCGCCGTACACCGAGCAAAAAGAGCTACTGATGCCCGTCCGATACAATGACCTCCTCCTAGAATCGGCTGGGTGAGATCCATAACCCACTAACTGCTAAACGGGCTAGAGGGCCTGAAAAGCCTCCCCTCGCCTGCAACCATTTCGCCCGGAGTCAAGATGGCCACAATGCCCCCCAGCCTGCCGCTTGCGCCCCAACTCCCCCGCAAAGCGGAAGGGAAGAGAGCCGCCGGGCTACAGGACAGTTGCCACAGCAACGCCCAGCCAATGAGGCGAGCGCAGCCCGCCAATCCGGACGGCGGGTGGGCGGGCCCTGGGCGCAGCACTTCCCGTGGCGCCGGCGCGGCCGAGAGCGGCGCTCCGCGCGGGGACTGGCTCTTCCGCAGCCATTTTCTGTCCAACCACACGGCCGTCTGGAGCGGAGAGCCAACCAGGCCGCATTGCAGGTTGGTGCCGGGCTGCGGCCAATGATCGCCAGCCGAGGTCTCCGCTGCCTCGAATGGAAATGTCCGCCCCGGACTCGTTTTTTTATTTGTTGCCTCTCGGAGAGCGATGTTAGGAGCAGGAAGTGCGAGGCGAGGGGAGATCGTGCAGTTTGTTTGTGTGCGAGAGCCGTGCGCCCTGCGGGCCGGGCCGGGCCGTCTCTCGCCCGACGAGTATCGGACATGGCGGGGCAGTAGCACCCCAGACCTGCAGGCATGCCTCTCAAACGGAGAGCAGCCGGGACTGGCGACCTGGGGGTTAGGTGGCGACTCTCGCCTCCCGAGCCCCGGGGTTGTGCTGTGCCTTTGTTTTGGGGGGGTACCGGCGGCGGTCCCGGTTCGGTGGGCGGTCACCCCGCCGAGCGCAGGGCCGCCCGTTGTGTTGTGTTTTTTTTACCGTGCGCCACTGGCGGGCGGGCGGGCGGACGGTCCGAGACGGGTTTAGGCTGCCGGGGCCGAGTCTCTGAAGAGCGACCCCGGGAACAAAGGAGCGCTCGGTTCGGTCCGGTTTGGTTCGGTCCGGGCCGGCTGGGAGGAGGTGGGGGGGCGGCATCTCGGCCCGCAGGCCCCGGGAACAAAAGGACGGGCGAGCTGGCGTCTTTCAGGAGAACCGAAATATGTGGAGCGGAGAGAGGAGGGACGTTGATCTGTTTCCGAGAAGGAATATTTGAATTGCAGTACAGCTGACTTGACCGCAGCGTCTGCTATGTTGGCCCTTGCTTCGCTGTCTGGGCTGGTTCGCGTTTGCCTTCCTCACCGGCTGCAGATGCCCCTCTGTGTGCGGGTCATGGCCCCTGTAACAGCCCCGCTGCCGAAGAGCCTGTCCCGCTGTTCTTCAGGTCCTCGTAGCGCTGCGGACGCCGATACTGTTGACCCGTTCACCAGTTACTGTTCGAGCCCGGATCCCCCTTCACTGACATCTGCCCTTGAACCTGTGTGACGTGTGGTTTGCCCAGTTCCTAGAGTTAAGACCCGGTTTATCCCCAGAGTAAACTAGACGTGTATTTTAATCGACCAAACTCTTCGTTGCCAATGCTGAGAATGTCACTGGTGCAAAGAGAACATCACAGGCTGTATGAAGGAATC